CCCCCCCCCCCCCCCCCCCCATTCTTCGTTATTAGGAGACCCGTTCACAGTGATGAACGCCTACGACGAGTGGATCCGCGTGAAGGCGGCTAGGAAGGAGTCCTCCCGCCGGTGGTGCAAGCGTCACGGCCTCCAGGAGCAGCGGCTGTACGAGATAACCAAGCTCAGGCGGCAGTTCGAAGACCTTCTCGGAAGCGCTGGCCTCATCTGGCTAGGTGCCGCCGCCCAGCGGGCGAGACAGGCGCGCGCCGCGCGCGGAGGGGGGGCGGGGGGGCCGTCGAAGGAAAAGCTCCGGGAGCTCAAGATGAGGAGGGAGGGTCGGAAGCGGAAGGTGCTCCAAGTCGATGGGGGGGGTGACGCGGCCGGCGATGCGGGGGAGGGGGGTAGCGGGGGCGAGGACGCGGAGGAGGCGCGGCGGGATCTGAGGGGCGAAGTTGGGGAGGGAGAGGTCGACGGCGAAGCGGGCCTGGACCTCTCGTCTCTGGAGTTTTACATGGCTCAGGATGTCGGTGAGAGCTTTTTTTAATGCGCATGGGTTTTTGATCAGTATGGACAGCTGAAATTACTGGATAGAGAGATCGGAACGGCTTTAAATGTACAACAACAACAACAACAACAACAACAACATGGGTTTTGGGGAAGGCGAGCGACTTCGTTGCACCATGCGAGGTGCGCGCATGGAAAGGCACAGGAGGACCGGAGTACTACATTGGCGGAGGAGGTATGGCGCGCTCGCTCCGCTCTTTGCTAAAGATAACGCAATGCCTTTGGACGTTGAGCAACCATCAAATGTTGTCTCAATTAGCGCGCGGTGTATGCGCATACGCCTGCCTCAAATGAATTCGTGCTTGTCCGATACAGGGTATGACCAGCTCGTTGCATGTATGAGTCTGCAGGTGTAGGAGTGCAACACTAAGTCAAGAGCATCGACGCGTGACTGTATCGCCCATTCCGGCGGGTACGGCTCGCTTCTTACCTCCCCGCCCCCACTGTAACAACAGATCAGCTTGCCGAGTCCTCCGGGCGACGCCTCGCTCGAAGAGACGTGGCGATCATCAAAGCCATCCTCTGCCAGGGCCTGTACCCTCAGTTCGCGGTCGCCGACGCCGGCAACGCGGGGCGGGCTTCCAACGAACAGCAGTACGTCACCCGGCCCTCCGGCGGGCTGTTCATGTCCCCTTCGTCCGTCCTCGCCTGTCAAGACTTCGGCATCGCCGCAACTGCGGGGGGGTCTGCGGATGGGATACATTCTTCTTCTTCTTCTTCCCGTGGGGCTGCCGCGAATGCCGGACGTGGCGACGGGTTGCTGTGCTACGGGCAGCTGATGGAGACGCAGAGGCCGTTCGTGTCGTCGGTGACGCCGCTGCCGGCTCTGCAGACGCTGCTGCTGTTCAGCGCCAGGGTAGACACTTCCGAGGATGCCTCGCTGGTGAGACCAGAGCCCGACCCCTCTTTCGTTCCGTGTGCGAGAGTAATGCTAGCGCTGGTGTTGGCAAGGCCGTGATCTGTGTTGGAGGGTACTGTAGTGCCGCCTCGGGAAAGCCGAGAACGTGGGGTGGGACAACGCACTTTTGTGTATTGGAAGAGGCGGGGTCCGACGGCAGTGTTGCGGGCAGGGTTTGAAAGCCGCTGTTGGCTTTCCTTTTTTTTCCCACCGTCCGTAGCACATACTGTGCCGCTGCTCTCGAAACAAACACCGGTCAAAGGGCGCGGTTAGTCCTCCGCTATCGGTTGCAGTGATACCTACGCTAACCTCGTCCATCACCTTTCGCCCCTCACCGCCGGAGCTCCCCCCCCCCCCCC